CACACACACACACACACACACACACACACACACACACACACACACACACGTCAGATGCTTGTTGTTCATAGGCCACTCTGAGTGTGTAACTATCATTTATAATTAGCTTATATTGTACCAATGTTATTAGGGCTGTTTTAATGTTACAGGAGTAGCAAACTTATTTGCATTTTGAAATGAAGAGTGGTATTTAACGGTTCCATATTATTTTAGCTATTTGAAAGTAACATCAGCTGTAAAACACTATATTTACAGTAAACAAGATAAGCTTAATATCTTATATTTCTGCAGGAAGAGTTTAATCTATTATTTGTGTATGAACTACAAAAATAATGTAGAAATTGTTTATCCATGTTAAATAGCATGAAGTGTGTATTATTCAATACTATTAAGAATGTAAATGTATTTTTTTTATCATGCTAGCTTTTTGTTCTTGGGGGCCCCCTGGTGGCGTAGGGGCCCTAAGCAATCGCTTAACTCACGTGTGACTATTACAAATCCATCCAGTGAGGAGTAACCTTTATTCAGTGTATGATTTGGAACCTAGTGGTATTTATTTTTTATATACTGAAATGTAAAATCTAACCATAAGGAAAAAGAAAACTGCTTTAGTTGAGTGTCTCTGCAGCCCCAGAGGGCCCAGTTTCTCATGCAGGCAGCAGGAAGCAGAGGCCTCTCCACTTCCTGTTTGGACATGTGGACCTCCAGGCTGCTGACTCCAGGGAGGAGCATGTTTACATGTTTGGCTCACAAAAATACCCAACACATCAGCTGTGTTTACCTCCATTAAATGAACTATTAAGATGTGAGGCGATCTGCCTCTCCAGAAGTAGCCTTCTGGTTAACAGTAGCACATCGGTTACCACGGAGATCAGTTCTATAACGAAACCCTACTCTAAACCAAGATTTAAGTTTTCATTGTCAACTCAAGAGTCACCCAGAAAACTTTTGTATGTGCGTTTATTCATCTTCTGTATCTGCTTTTCCTTGCAGGGTGAGGAGTGTGTGGTGTTGCCTGTTCCCAGCGGTCACTGGGTGAGAGGTACGACCTGGACTGGTCACCAGTCCGTCAGGGCAGCACAAAGACACACGGGACAATCACCCATGCACCCACACACTTATACCTAAGGACACAGAGAGACTAATTAACCAGCAGTCATGTTAGGAAGGAAGCCGGAGTACCTGCTAAAAACACAAAACATACACAGGAAGAATATGAAAGACCGCAGACTGGGATTCAAACCCAAGACCTTCTTGCTCCATGGCAACAGTGCTACCAATGCAGCATAAATGTGACAAGATTCATTGGGATATTCTAATTCATTGAATATGACCGTATTAACAGAAGCAGAGCATATCTTCAGCACTTCTCCCTTTTCAGCATAATTAAAGCTGCGATATGGAGCCTTAAGTTGTTATTAGCACATTTAGCAGCACATACATGAGTTTAATTGACAGCACCAAGCCCCTCCTCCTGGCTCTGATTGGTTGTTTTTGAGCAGTAGTGGTGTATTTCTACAGGTGGCAGTAGGATTACAGGGAGGGAGCTTAATTTTTTTTTTGATTATCTGTCTCATATTATGCTGTCACGACATGGTGACAGTTTTAACAAATATGTTTTAAGGAAAACATTTTTTTTGTCGAAGTTTCCTATTTGATATTTAACTGCTAAATTGTTCTCCAAACTCGCTCTGGTTGTACTTTAACCTGAGTTGGCTGCAGATGCAGGAATCATGTAAACCTGGCTAACCTGGTTAGTTACATAACACATTTGGAGTGCTGACCAGTGACCTCCTCCCTTTAACTCACAAAAATGACAGAAAATTAGTAATTTGCTCTTTATAAGCATTCAGTTTATTCCTAAAGTTACTGGTCTTGTCAACTGGACCAACAGAGGAGTATCTGACGGTTAACCTGTGCTGTTTTTGTGTTTTGTTGTCCTTATTTAACCTTTCCAGGCCGACTGTTGCTGCTGACTCTTGGCTGCCATGCTGAGATAAAGGCGGCCCGGTGCCAATCAGAACCTGTTAGTCCCACTTCTTACCCACACAAAGCTCCATCTGAAGGAGTCCGGCTGCCCCATTGGCCTACTTAAAACCTGTAAGAGGGCTATAAGTTGCCCTTGTCTTTCTTGAAACTGAACCCCCTCTCTGTTTTTGCTAGTCCTCTCACACACTCTTCTCGATTGTTTATTTGTCCCAATCTGATCTCTCTCCCCTCCTCTAAGCTCTGTCCCTTTCCCAGCCTCCCTCCCCTCTCTCTCTCTTCCTTTGTCGCCCGCCCACCAGTTGATTCCAGCTCAGTGTCAGGAGGCGACGGGAGAGAAGGCCGAAGCAGACTTTTTCTCACCAAGCGTTGCTGCTTTTCCTGCTGCACCTTCCACTCTCACCATCACCGTGAGTATCCAGCTTTGGTCGCTCACACCAACAAATGGAAAGGAGCTTAATGGGATAAAACCAGGAATAGACTCCCACCCACCACCACCACCCTTCAACACAGACCCGGTCTCTGTGTTGAATCCCAAAAAGATGGGAAGAGAGGTGGACGTGCAGGGAAGACAGGATCACAGATTGACCCGAGAGATTTCTAGAAGTGATTCAGTGTGAGAAGACTAAAGACAAACTGAGTATGTAGAAAAAAGTTGCAACATAAAAAATAACTTATGTCTCTCTCCAAGTTCTAGGAATTTTTTTTCTGTCCTTGCAGAGATTAAACAGCAGAGTAGAAATGTAAACATGAAGGCTCGTTGGTAATCCAAACATTTAGACCTCTAATGTGTTTCAAGAAAGAGACCAGCTCTGAAAACTGTGAAGAACAAAGTCTTAATGTCTCTAGTTAGTTTGAATTGCACATTTGAAACCAATGTCTGGAAAATCTGGGAACCTTGAAACTGGGCCTTTCTCCCCCTTGGATCAAATCACAGTTGAAATAAAATCCAGCAGATTTACAATAAATGCTTTTAGAAGTACACCTTGCAGCAGGAGCATCCGAACACAGTTCACATGATACCAAGTTGGACAGCTGTCTTTAGAGGTGGTTGATGTAGACAAACATGTTTCTACATTTTGACGTGTAAGATCTTTACCAACAAATTATACTTTTTTGAAATGGAAAATTTTAAGCACAACACAAAGTATTTTCTTTTGTTAACCAAGCTTTTGCTTTCAATTGTTATAAGAAGACCACAAACATTTGGTGGATTTTATTTAAAAGCGCTCCTCAGGTCATAAACACAGCTAAATCCAGTAAGTGTTCAAAGTGTGAGTGACCTCCATCCAAACCTAATCTTTCTTTTGGTGCTACTCTGTTATTTGCATTAACATTTTGCATGTTTTGTTTATTGTAGGTAAAACTAAAAGAAATTCACAATCAATGTACTTTTGCATTTCTGATTTATCTATGTAATTTTTGTGACCCTTGAGCACTTTCAACACGAATATTCTCACATTCTCAGTAATATAAAAAAAAAAAAATGAATTAGAAGACATCACCCCAGTTGTAAAGTCTCTGTAGCTCAGAGGATAGACTTTAAAATATTTCTGTTTGCTTATAAATCACTGACCTACTTACTTAGCACCAAAATACATTAAAGGTTTGCTGTTGTATCAACCTTCCAGAGGTTCTGATTCAAATCGAGAAAAACAGAACCAAACATGGAGAAGCAGCATTCAGCTTCTACGCACCACAAATCTGGAACAAACTTCCAGAAAACTGCAAAACACTTGAAACACTGAGTCTAAAAATCCTCCCGTTTACAGCTGACTTTTCTTAACATCAACTGGAACATTGACTAACATTGATGTATTTTTTTGCTTGATGATTTGACAAAATATGTTTATTGCTTGTTTCATCATCTCTTACCATATTCTGGTTTGTTAACTGCCTTGTAGCTGAAACATGCCATGATGCCTTGACTTTAAAGAAACAGAAGATCCAATCATTTTAACTGAATGTCATTAAAATCTCAGAAGACATTTAGCTGTGAGCTTTGGGGTGAAGTTTACAGCAAGAGCAGAGGCAGGAACAGCAGCAGCAGCAGCATCTGGAGTGTCGCATGAGATAAGGCAGACAAACACAGATCCGTGTTTGCGAGCAGCACCTGGCGATCATCACTGCTGCTTCAAAGCCACCCCTTGTTTAAAGAACCCACACTGATCAGACCTAAAATACTAAACATGGAAGTAAACGTGACCAGGTGGGTTGTAGATTACAGCGTCGTGTGTGATTAACGGCAGCAGACAGCGAGAGCCTGGCGGGTAAAAAAGGGATTTGGGTTCCTGCCAGGACATCTTTCTGAAGCTCTTAGCCAGATGGTCTGTGTCACTGTTGTAAATAACAACATGACGTAGCAAAGCTTTGATATTTAAAGAGAAACAGCAGCTAATTAAGTCCATGAAAGCATTAAGCAGTGTGACAGCCAACTCACATGTAGAAAAGTTGAGTTTAACTTTATAATCTGGTGTCTTCGCCTGAGTTAGCGCCATGTTGTGGTTACTGTTTTTCTGTTCTTGTTTGAGATGAAAATCCAAATTTCTGCTCATCGCGTTGCTTTAGTTCCTGTGCTTAAAAATATCAGCGTTCTGAAATATGAATAAATGAGAGGTGCTATTTTACAGATGCTGTGAAATTGATTAACATCCGTGGTTAAGATATTTCAAATAAAATGAAGTCATACTTCTTTAAAATGGTAGCTATTTCAACAATAAACATATGTATGAAATGTGTCCAAATCTCCGTCTATATTCCGCTAATGTCGAAAACAACACAATTTCGCAATTGTGTTAGGAATTAAATTAAAATCACACCTGAGTAATCTAGGGTTAGGGTTACATGGCAGTGTCACATGTAAACATGACTATATCTCATGTAAACAGTTACATGAGATATAGTCATAATTCAAACATGGCACTAGTGCTCTTCATCTATCAGCCAATCAGAGAAGACGTTGGCATCTTATTTGGTGTGGTGCTGCTACTTTGGAGCACCGTTTGAAGCATTTTGGAGAAATTGTAGTCTGAGATTTTACAGAAAAGTTGTAAATTCAACACGTTGCAATGACTCACAACTTTTTATGAACTGTGTGATGCTGTGAGAGATCTGGTGGAGTGACTACAAGAGCTGAAAAAACCCCAAACAAACAGGAAGGAAGGAAGGAAGGAAGGAAGGAAGGACGGACGGACGGACGGACGGACGGACGGACGGGCGGACGGAAGGAGGGCTGTAAGGTAGGTAGGCAGGAAGGGGGGAAGG